AGCAAGAACAGCAAGAACAGCAAGAATAGCAAGAACAGCAACAACAGCAACAACAGCATCAACAACAACATCAACAAGAACAGCAAGAACAGCAAGAACAGCAAGAATAGCAACAACAGCAACAACAGCAACAACAGCAAGAACAGCAACAGCAACAACAGCAACAACAGCATCAACAACAACAACAACAAGAACAGCAAGAACAGCAAGAATAGCAAGAACAGCAAGAACAGCAAGAACAGCAAGAACAGCAATAATAGCAAGAACAGCAAGAACAGTAACAACAGCATCAACAACAACATCACCAAGAACAGCAAGAACAGCAAGAATAGCAAGAACAGCAAGAACAGCAAGAACAGCAAGAACAGCAAGAACAGCAAGAATAGCAAGAACAGCAAGAACAGTAACAACAGCATCAACAACAACATCAACAAGAACAGCAAGAACAACAGCAAGAACAGCAGGAATAGCAAGAACAGCAAGAACAGCAAGAACAGCAAGAATAGCAAGAAGAGCAAGAACAGCAAGAATAGCAAGAACAGCAACAACAGCAACAACAGCATCAACAACAACATCAACAACAACAGCAAGAACAGCAAGAACAGCAAGAATAGCAAGAACAGCAAGAACAGCAACAACAGCATCAACAACAACATCAGCGTACAAGAACAGCAAGAACAGCAAGAATAGCAAGAACAGCAAGAACAGCAAGAACAGCAACAACAGCATCAACAACAACATCAACAAGAACAGCAAGAACAGCAAGAACAGCAAGAATAGCAAGAACAGCAAGAACAGCAAGAACAGCAAGAACAGCAAGAACAGCAAGAATAGCAAGAACAGCAAGAACAGTAACAACAGCATCAACAACAACATCGACAAGAACAGCAAGAACAGCAAGAACGACGACGACGACGACGACGACGGAGGCGGCGACGACGACGACGACAACGACGACGACAACGATGACGACAACAACAATAACAATAGCAATAACAATAGCAATAACAATAGCAATAACAATAGCAATAACAATAGCAATAACAATCTCCACCACATGTAACAACTAATAAAGATAACTTTTGTTTTATTTGAGATGGAATAAAAAATCAGCTACGTACGTACCGGTTGTCGATGGGGGCTTTATTATTTAGCATTACTAATTTTGCATTTTCCATTGATTCTTAACTTGCATTTTCTACGTTTTCTCATTTTCTGGGCGATAGGCCGTGGCTGATGGGGACCCCTAACTGTCGAGGGCCCTAAATGCCGGGTTTATGAACTAACCCTACCCAATGAGAGTTACGTATGCAACTGATTGCAATATACAAAATGCAATAGTTAAATAGGAACACAAGAATTAATCAAATACAGCCAAATTAATTATTAAGAACTTTATTATGTAATATTTAGATTGATTTTCGTGGTTGACGTTGTAGATTTATTTTTTGAGCAAGAAATATTTTGCTTTGTTAAGCTATATTTCTACTTTGTTTGCTATCTCTTTCCTCCGCAGAACATCCTTAAGTGTTTGCAAATAACTTACATGAAGTTTCTTGAATAAAAGTGAGCGCGCGCCGTGTGATGAGAAGATTGAAATGAAGCCGATAAGACTCATAATGCAACGAAGTATGGTTTTTGAACCAAACCAGGTTTGACCTTTTTCTCAATTCAAATCGACGGGAATGTAGAAGAAATTAAAATAAATCTTAATAATCTGATTATCGAAGTTCAGTAGAATCATTTATAAAGAAATGTTGCAAGTTTGAGGATATTTATAATTAGATAGCTCATATCCATTTATATATATTCATTTGCAATTTCTCAATATTTTTCGGTGAAAATGGGCAGAAGAAGATATTGATATTGGATTAATATTCATTCTAGAAGACTCACTTGTACGTTAGAAAAGGAAAGTGGAAAACATGTTAATTTTGACATCCTTGGAGGTTGATATCGAACCGAACTCCAAACGATCATATACGACGCCATATTGATTGCATTAACTACCATAGCCTTCTTTTATTTCGCTCTTCTCATCAATCCTTTCGCGCTCACTTTTCCCTCGTTAGAAACTTCATGTAAGCCTCTGCGGAGGAGAGAGGTTTGTCATTATCTTTAAATTACAATAGTTCATTTCCTCTTTAATTTTCTCTCCACACCTTCCTAGAGTTCAATGTTGATTACAGGGCATTTTCATAAAAACCTCGTACTCAAACTTTCGTACGTATGTCTTGGTATAGCAGCCATGTTGCCACAATATTACCCAATTAATTGATAACTTTCACTGTTTTCGTATTGGCCAATCAAATGACGTTAACTTATGAGATGGAAGTGAATTGATTATCCCATGGCTTCTGAGAGCCACAAACAGGATAATAAGGTAGCTATCAATTTCGCTTATAGGCGTTGCGCTTATGTGCTTGATAGAAAGGTAGCTATAAATTTACGGGTCGAAAGTTTGCAATACATTCCAATAATAAATGAATGGCGTTGCCTATCAAGCAAAACAAATTAAAACATAAAGGACAATACTATTGTTGTACGTTTTAATATAGTATGCAATTAAAGATGTAGTTTCAGAACATTAAAATAGGAATATTATGAGTACACGAATGAAAATCAAGATTCAAGATTCGCCAAAAACTAGTTAACTAACTAACTAGTTAACTAACTAACTAACTAGTTAACTAACAAAAATAATTTTGAGTTAAGAGATTCCTCTCTGTAATACGTCGCCAATACGATCATGCAAATTTTTTGCTATGTTTTTGCGTCGTGCTTCCACACAATTTCTCGTTTTCCCAATTTCCACTCGTGTTGATATAACTGTATATCAACACGGAAAATGTTTTATATTTGTTAAATATAAAACAATAATGGTTTATATCATAACGTTAATGGTTCATTGTCAAATTTTGGTCATTTAAGAAAAATATTGTCGCGAATTTCAAGGTTTTATTTGGTCTGTAAACTATTGGTAAAAAAACTGTTGTAATACCGCCAATTATTTGGGCCACTGACAAACCGACCGGCCCAGAGTGACCGTACGCAATAGCACGACAATCCAAAAGCACCGAAATATTGCGACAAAATTAACATTAAAAACACAAAGTGACCACTACGATTTTCTTTGGTAGATGTCGAAAATCCAAACATTACCCAAATCAACAGCGAAACCGATTGTCTGATATGGTTGGCCATCTATACTCTATAGCTTCTATACTCCTCACTGTTCAATTAGTTATGTACGTCTTTACCTCAACAGGAAAAGGCGAGCCACATTATTATATATACATAACCATTTGCCACTTGTGAAATTAAAAAAGAAAATTATGAGATATCCTTACCTTATTCCATTTTCTCGAGAGTCAGCCATCATACACTTGCAGTTGCAGGGGGAGCACTAGCTCAGAAATGTTTAATAGTGTGTTGATACTCTGTTTGTTTTATCGCATTTATCCATGTAGTATTGTATGACTAATCCCCCGCTCTCTCTATACAGCGCATATACCGGCTATCTAATAAAAAAATCTAAAAAGTAGCATGATGTCATCCTCGGTGAGAACTGCCACATATATAGGCTAGAAAATAACATTTTGATAGGTCTTCAAAACATATATGCTATATCAAACCTAATCAATTTCTTGATGGTAACTGAATTAGGAGATATTCCTAGCATGATAAATATATCAAAAATTTGCTAAGCCATCTAATTATTGATGGAAAATTTGATTTCAAGTGCAATTTCACCATATTTCAAGTGGAACTATTTCAAGTACGGCTGCAGCACTTGAAATACAAAACTGCTCCCATATTCCCGTATCACTTCCGTGTCGTATCAAGGGTTTTGTGAACTGTGTTGTTCACATTCGTTCAACTAAAAGGCTTTCTATTGGCTGAAACAAGCTCAGTTATCATATTCGTTTCTCTTGTTAAGCCATCGTAGAGTTAAAATTCTTTGTGATTAGCTTGTATTCCTGATACAAATTACTGCACCATCTGTACGTACAAGAGACAGTGGTGTACAGCTACTACAGCAAAAAGTCAATGAAATTGGATGCGAAATAAATAGAAAATAATGTGAATCTTGCTGACCATAGCCTAACTATATAGTTTGCAACGTATAGCCTAACTATTATTTTTGGTCCTCCTCTTGGACGTAGTGATCACTTGACATTGGAGATTCGCCTTAAGCTATATGACGACGCCAGTTACTTGACCTCTGTAAAGTATAATTGGTCGAAATGTGATATTGCTAAAGTTGCATATTTGGGGCAACAGACGGACTGGTTCTACTCGGGTGTATTTGATAATTCTGTAGATACGCAAAGTCAGGAATTATTGAATAAGATCTTGCATATTGTTGATAACTCTGTGCCAACTATTAAGCTAAAAACTACGAAGGAAGGAATTCCAATTAAGAAAGCGCCATGGGAATGCTCTAGACTTCGGCATTCTAGGAAAGCAAAGGATAAAGCTTGGTACTGTTTTGATATATACGTCCCCCACACATTACAATCTTATGTCTGCTATTGAGGCTCAAGGTCAATATAAGACTATAGAACGGGAAAGTAAGGAAAGTTATGAGATAAAATTGGCTAAAGAAATAAAGTACAATTCTAAGCAGTTCTATGCATATTTACGCAATAAGAAAAAGTCCAATCCCACTGTATCTAAGTTGAAAAAGCCTAATGGAGAATTTACAACTAGTGTAAAGGAGTCTGCTGATTTGCTTGTCAAATCGTTTGCAACTGTTTTTACAAACGAGACTTCACTCACTCGCGATTGTAACATGGATATTATCGCTGTTAAACAAATTGATCCACTAATAATTAGTGACTATGATGTGAAAAATGAGCTGCTGGCTCTAGATGTCTCAAAGTGTGCTGGGCCAGATGGAGTTCATCCAAAAATTGTTAGAATTTTAGCGGGAAATGATAATTTTGTGAGTGCTGTAACAGCTTTATATAGATCTATTTCAGACGTCAGACAATTCCCAGAAGCTTGGAAGAGAGCAATTATAATTGCATTACATAAAATGGGGGCAATTAGTGATGCTGGAAATTATCGACCAATTTCTCTAACTTGCATCCTATGTAAAGTGTATGAAAAGCTTTTGTTTAAACATCTGTACAGTCATGTTAAGGGATTTATTAGTCGGAATCAGCATGGGTTTATGGAAGGGAAGTCTTCTCTCTCTAACTTGTTGGAATCACTACAATATATTATCACGTTTTTGGATAGTGAAGATCCTGTTGATCTTATATATTTGGATTTTCAAAAAGCTTTTGATAAGGTTGCACACGAAAGATTGTTGTTAAAGTTAGAAAGTTACGGAATTACTGGGCAGGTTCATGATATTATAAGGAACTTCCTGACAGGTAGATCAATGGCAGTACGTGTGGGATATCATATTTCATCATGGGAGCCTGTTACTTCTGGAGTCCCCCAAGGGTCTGTTTTGGGACCCTTGTTATTTATATTATTTATTAATGATATGCCACAAGTTACTAAATTTAATACTGTACTTTTCGCTGATGATTCCAAAGTTATTGGTAATGCATATTATCCGGAAGATATTCAAACAGACATTGACTGTCTCAGTAGGTGGTCAGATGAAATTTAATGTGGAAAAGTGTGGTGTACTTCACATCGGAGAGAGCAATCCGCAACATGGCTATACATTGGATGGTATTCAACTAAAAAGTGTACAGAAAGAAAAGGATTTGGGGGTAACCTGGTCTGCCGGGAAGTCCTTATTTGATGATCATATTCGAGAAGGAATCGGAAAGGCCAAGAGGATGATTGCCTGGTTAATAAGAAATGTTGTATCTCGTAAACATGAAGTGTTGGTTCCTCTTTACAAGGCCTTTGTGAGGCCCCATCTGGAGTATTGTGTGCAAGTTTGGTCCCCGGTAGCAAAGCATGGTAATTGGGGTATAATTATGGCAATTGAAAAATGTCAAAGGGATTTTACTAGAATAATTCATGGTATGGGTTTTCTCAGCTATAGTGAGAGACTTCAAAAGCTGGGACTGACAACACTTCTCGAACGTAGAATGCGGGGTGATCTTATTGAAGCATACAAGATTATTAACGGACATGTTAACTATGGCCATCAAATGTTTAACCATAATTTGCATTATAGTACTCGTAATTTATGCAATGTATCATCCTGTAGGACCAGATTTGCGTTAGATTGTTTTAGCGTAAGAGTAATTAAGTATTGGAACAATTTACCAAACTCTGTTAAGTATGCACCTAGTGTAAACGCCTTTAAGGCAGGACTTGATGATCTAAAAAGTTATAACCCGGATTCTCGTCACGGATATTTGTATTTATCGCAAGAAATCTTTAACAGAATTCCGGATAAGAATGACCATGTTACTTATCTTAAATTGCATCCAGAGGTTGCTATGCGAAGACATATTTCTTGTTTCTAATTTTTAATAATTGTAATATATATTACTGTAAGATTTATATTTCTGTAATTTTCTTAGATGCATGAGTTGCCCAGAGAGGCATAATTAAATCTTATCTTATCTTAACTGGGGAACTGCTTGCATGACCAGCATTTCTCTACTTTTCAAAAGACTCCAGCCTGTATTTATGCTTAATGGCTGAGTGGATGCTGTTCAAAAATATTTCTACTCTTAGGAATCAATTTGCATGAGTATGGAAATAGACTAAATACTAGAAAATACATGCATGCAGAAACCCCTTGCCTTGCTGACAAAACCATTGTATATTCCGAACATGAAGTATTTAAAGTAGTTGTCATGGTAACACGATAATTTTGTTAAGAATATTTTTACAAATGAAAAATCCCCTAAAAATATCACTTTTAATTTCAAAATTTTCAATTCTCCAAACATGTATATGTTAGGTATGTTATTCAACGTATAATAATATAATAAAGATATTACTCGACTCTGATTGGTTGATTTCAGGGTAGTTAATCCCAAACAGAAGTGCAATTTTCTGTAATCGCAGTGCAATTTTCTGTAATTACAGCGCAATTTTTTGTAATCACAGTGCAATTTTCTGTAATCACAGTGCAAAAATCTGTAACAAACTGATCTGATTGGTGGAAAAACATTGTGATGATTAAATTAACCAATCAGTTTAAGGCAGTTTAGTTTTAAAGAAGTAACGGTCACAGATTGCTTCAAAACAAAACAAACATGGCGCCGCGCTACACAAAGTAAAAGTTGCCTTCGCGTGGAAAATATGGCTTTTATCTTTATTTTTAAATGGAAAAGCATTTACCTTAAACAAGACTAACAAAAAATACACAGTTGAGTGGAATTTTCAAGCTGTTAGCGTTGTATAATGTGATAAAATAAAGCCAGGAAAACTTTGCCAGTGGAATGTTCGCTATAAACGCGTAAGTTAAAACTACAATTGTCTCGAACATTTTTATGTAAATTATTAATAAGTAATAGCATGGTTTCTCGTGAAATTTGGATAAACATGCACTCGTGAGTTTTTCAAAGACCTCAAATAGCACTCGTCCTTCAGACTCGTGCTATTTTGAGGTCTTTGAAAAACTCACTCGTGCATGTTATATCCAAATTGCACTCGAAACCATGCTATTACCTATACATATAAGCTTCAGTTTAAGGCAACATTCAACATCAAACGCTTCGCAAGACGTTTTAATTAAAATGTTCTTTATAAAACTAAACTGCATTTATCTAAAAACTTTGAGTCAGTTGAAATAAAATGATTTCAAATTAATATCGCATTCAAACAACTTCGCTTTCTTTTTTATTTAAACACTTTAGGGGTACTTTACAGTTTACCGTACCCGTGTACCTACTAGCGAGTGGTTTCCAGTTCTTTTATCGCGTCTTTTGATGACGTATGTATTCAGTGATTTACTCCCCGTACGGTAAAGTGTAATATTTCCCATTTTAATATAATAAAAAAGGTTAATCAATAAAGAAACACTGAAATTATATGCTGTCTTTTTAATTTAAAATATACGAAATGATCACGACAGCTTTTAATGCCGTTATAAAGCAAACAAAATATACATCAATATTTAAACAAACCTACCTTCGTTAAATGTCGGCGCCTTTACTCCCTTCTTTTAGCAATTCTTTCGCCTTTATTTTCTTAAAAAGCTTTTGAAATTCACAAAATCTTGCAAAAATGAAATATATTTGCAAGAAATTTTTCGGTGTTGGTGTTATGTACTGATGTGGGTGAATATGATGTTTTGTGATGGTACTCTGAGTGTATACCTACGACCTTTGGAATACTAGCCCAATGCTCTGCTAACTGAGCTACGTGGTTAGGTCGGTTTGAGTATGTGATATTTCGGAACTGACTCTACTTCCTTCGATATCAATGCAATCTAGCAATCATGATTTTTTCTGTGTTGGTGTTATGTACTCTTGTGTGTGTCATTTTAACAATGAGCTCAGAACTGGTCTACAAAATGTTTATAATCTTTCTGCATCGGGGGGAGGGGCCATGCTACCGAACCACTCCTAGTTGTTCTGTGTATTCAATGTATTAGATTCTCAACCCGATCCCCACCCCCACCCCCACTTGTTTGGACTGGCTACGCCCCTGATGGTATTACACGATTCCTTTATATTTACATTTGAACGAGTGTGACATAGAAACTGGTGCCTACTGTGATCGCAACGGTCTGTGTAGGAATATACATGGGTACTTCTCATGCAACAACAACAACATCGTTAATACCGGTTTCTTACTAAGTCAGCATAAACGCGTCCGGGCGATTAATTGGCTATGGCCGATATTTCTGTGTACTGGGGTACAAGCGCCGGATAACGGTTTTTTGATAACTTTTAATATTTGTGTATACGCCACAAACTGACGTACTATAGTTTTAGGAACCGGTCATTATTTATGGCGGGGGGTGGCACCGAAGAGAAATGTTTTTCGTAGCAAAAATTTTGCTGACCCAACCATTAAAAAGTAAAAAAAATTGATTACCCAACCTCAAATATCAATTAAAAAATAAATACCCACCCCTGGCCAAAAAATTTACAAAAGGTACCATTCAGTTGTCACATATGTCCTTTACCACTTCTGTGACATAAGTTTGATAACGGATTGTGAAATTTTCTGCAGTCTGAAGTTTCATGTTGTCTGCACATGTAGCTACTTTCTTTGGAGATCCCATCGGAAATTGATCAAGATAATGACTCTGATTGATATATACTTTTCGTTGTTTCTTTACACATTTAGTAAATCTTAGTATAACACCAAGTTCATCAATTGCTGCTATTTTGCTAGCAAATCCATGTATAATAAACCCGGGTGTTTTGCAATCAAAAGTGATGCAGCCTGGATAGTGGAATAAGTTGATTACTGTAGGCACAATTTTTGGCCACTTAATAGTCAAAGGTCATGCATAAATAAGAACAGTCTTTAATATTACCGCCTTACGCAGACTTTATATTAATTGTGCTACTCTAGGATCTAGAAGACCCATAAGTCCCATACTTGACTGCAACATAATCAAGTTAGTTATGTTAATTCATTATATATAGGATCAATGTTAAAGGCAAGGTGGGCTATAAGCTATAATCATTTGTATGGCTTATAGAAGGTAATTGCTGCGAATAAATTGAATAATGAATGTAGCACAATATTAAATAGTTGCATGATGACGTCAAAGAAACTAGTCATACTACATTTGCAAGTTTTGCAACTCTCATCGCTTAAATTCCCCATACCTGAATACAAAATAAACAGTAAACAACGATTACCTTTTACATACCATATATAAAACGGAGTTTTCATCCTTTCTAGAAACTCACTTCCTGAACTTTTGAGCGCAAATGTAATGTATTAAAAATGTATATCATATTCATAGCGGTTAATACCATTAATATATCGCGGGCGCAATACAAAACAAAACACGAGAATTTTAAAATGTTTTGATTTGCAAATAAATAAATAATATTTGATGTCATAAAAATTTTTAAATTTAACTCAACACAAACTGGTAAGTTCATGACATGTATAATTTACTTATATGTTTTATATTGCAATTCTGTACCCTACTCCTTTGAAAATTATTTGCAATTGCATATGATGCGAACATGTGGTCATGTATTATAGTTGTGTCATGAATTTAATAATACCCCAATGGCTTCGAAATAGACAATGGATGGAAAAAGTCATAAATATTGAGCTTATTTACCCTTTAAACACTTGATCGTCATGCGCATTTGTTAAATTGTATATTTTGCTTCATACACTGCATGTGTGTGTGTTTGTGGGAACACTCATGTTTGGATGCTTGGCATAGGTTAATGGTAATTTCATTGGAGTCATCAGGGATATAGTTGTATATTCCTGACATTACCACTAAACACCTAAAACAGCATTCCCTAAAATTTTAATTGTTTTCTTACATTGCCCTATATCGCTCAAACTCGCATTGCTTAAATTGCAGATTTTGCTTAAATCACCTAAAATTGCTTAAACTCGCATTATCTCGTTATCGCCCCAGAGTAGGGCCTACTGTTGCCATTGCTTTTCAGTCCCCAATACTTCAGTGAGTCATGCTTTGGAAATGACAATAATTTTTTATTACCCAACCCTCGAGTTGTTTTGTTTTTCATTTACCCAACCTTTTACTTACTCAAAATTTAGTTTACCCAACCTTTTTTTCTTTGGTGCCACCCCCCACCATAAATAATGACCGGTCCCTTAGTGTGTTCTGAAAAATATTTACTCATATTGGACAGTTATCGGCCGAGGGGCTTTGCCCCGAGGGAAATATCATTACTGAGGGTAATATTTTGCCGAATCCCCCGAGCGGAGGGTCTATAAATAATATATTATACCGAAAATTAAAAGCCTCCAAGTTGAAAATTAAAAACTTGACACATACCTTCGTGAATACGATGTTTTATTTTTGGATTAACGCAAGTATCGTCGCTTTTCTGTCGAATCACATATCGTTTGGAATATTAATGACAGCATTTTTCAAAATTTGCTTCAAAATTTTGAAAAAGCCCCAGGTTTTACGTTTAAAATTTGATTATTCATCACCCATTAATACTATTTATATTTTGTCGGCCATTTTGTTGTCATGCGTGTTGTCTCGCGTGGTCTACGCGAATAATGTTCCACCCCATGTTCTCCGGGGAACATGGAGTGGAACATTGTCAAAAGGAACGCTGGCTTGCTAATTGATGACGTAAGGCGTGATATCGCGATTAATTTCATGCTCACGTGGCACAAACTTCGCTACCTGATTGGACAATTTGAATTTGAGGTATAATATATATATATATATATATATATATATATATATATATATATATATATATATATATATATATATATATATATATTGCTCGAAAAACAAGAATTAATGAGTATATCCATCTTTCAAACTACTGGAGTGGAAAATGAAAAAAGATTTGAGTTATAAGGCACAATTAAA